CTTGTGGTCTTTGCTCAAGATGAAGAAAGTAGCACAACCGTCACAGGTTATTTTATTAGTGGTTTCAAATAAACCAAGATCTACAAATTTCTAATTGTCATCCTTGCTATGGCAAAAAAGTTAAATGTAACAGTTCATGAAGGTGGTACCAAAGCCTTCATTTATACGTATGATGATATGAGCCTTGGTTGTGATAATGAAAGTATTCTTAAGACAGAAGCTGACAGTTCCAACAATAAATCTTCTAAATTTGGGAGAGTAAATGTATTTCTGAGTATTATAGAAAATGATAATATCAATAGTCGAGCAAAGCTTCTGCTGACTAAATGAAAATAGTTTATTAATTTCACTTTTAATTTAATATAATTTTATTTTTATTTTGGAAAATTTTCATTCATATCATATTTATATACTTTATATTTATTCAAATTTGTATCTCCCTTTTTAATCCTAATGCTAATGAATTTATTAACACAGACAATTAGTATGCAATCTATGAATAAAATTCTTACGTGCAATTTTTTTGATCATCAAATTTATAACCTCCGTGTAAATATCAAGTCAAGATCTCGTTGCCACTAGAATTTGATTTCATGTGTACGACGTTAAAATGTCAAAAATTTACTCGGGTGGGAGGGCAGTCCATAAGCATAATCTTGGGTCCCTCGTTAAGTATTTAAGAATTTTCTTGCAATTCTTTAAACATAAGTAATTATTTAGATTACTTTGCAATTTAGTATTAAAAGTCCACACAAATTAGCATTTTTGGCTCACGTGAAATTAAAATTTTAAAATTGATCCGGAACCCAGGGTTTATAGTTTATTATTTTAAAAATTTTATATGTAAATCGAAACAGTGTTGGCTTTAAAGTATAATCGGATGGTGAAGAATTTCCCATTTTGTGAAGACTGTTGGTTAAGTTAACCTGTTAACCCTGGCCGAGAATTAATATTTTTATGATTGTGCTAAATCTGGCCAAATTTATAGTACTGGTTCATTATTTTAGTGTAAAACCCGCAACAAAATGTCTTCCCATCTTTCGCATGTATGCAGTTGCAGGTGTTGATGATGAACCTCCTAGTTATTCCATATATTATACTGAGTGCAGGAATTATGTATCTTCCAAACCACAAC